TATTAAATTTGATAAATTTTCACTGCCGATTCTGAACTTGATATACTGGAAAACTGATTGCACTTCCCATAAATGTGGCGATTCTTCTACTGGGCAGTAAAATTTCTAGGGGACTTTTTCCCCATTGGTCAGCTCCAGACTCCATTATCAATTTATCATTGATTCACAGAATCTCAGGTTAGAAGAGATCTTAAAGGTCCATTTCCAGCAAAGGTTGTAGCAGAGGAAGAAAGGAGACAAGCTCTTCCCAGAGTCACTCCCATTTGCAGAGTTTCAAGATGAGTCTTGGGGAGTTCCTGTTCATTTCTCCTACTAAACTGCCTGGATTGCCGTTCATTCTGTTTCACTGGAAGTTTCTGTGAGAGTTAGGAGGGCCCTTGGCAGAGAGGCTAAACGCGAGTGGGGCCTCATTATCAAGTAATATGTTGCTAAGTATAAGGCAGAGTAGAACTTAAAACTGCCTGGTTTCCTGCCATATGGCACGTTCCAGAGGGAGAGTCCGGGGTCAAAGCCTGCAGGGCTACTTTTCACACAGAAAAAGGGAGCATTTGTGCAAGACTTGGACCAGCTTCTATTCCAGTGTCAGTGATAGTTTTGCACTCACCGTTACTACTCTATCAGTTCCTTGTGCCTGTGGCTACTGAGACCTTAATAACAGGGCTGACGTCACAAAAGATGTTTTTTGCTGAAGCTATTGATCCTTACCTGGTGGCTTCTTTCTGGCCAAATGGTTCTAATCCAGGAAGCGAATGAGTTCATCAAGGCAGATCCCAAAGCAGGAGGCAGGATGCGCCTGTGCATCGGTGGGAGAGGAGCTGCTTTGGTGTTATTCAGGTGTAAGAATCAGACCTTTTGAGAACGAATACATAATTGAAGTGGAAGATAACTGTAGAAGCCGTGGACAATGAGATGAATAAATCTATTGATTTGACATATGAATAGGTTCCAAATCTTTTTTATTTTTTTATTTTTTTAACAGAGCTAGGTTTTTCCCTTCTAAATACATATGCATCCAAATGGAAGAATATCCCCTTTGAGTAAGCTAAGTGCTGGCCCAGGGATTGGTTTACAGAGTAGAAAAGTGGTTTGCCCATTCATTTCCTACCTCACGTTCCAATTCTCTCTCATGTTCGGTGCAGTGAAAGCTGTGTGTGTGTGCCAAGCAGGGCACGCTCACAGAAGGCAAGAGTATTAGTGGAAAGAAAAAAAGAAAGACACCATGGAGAAAAAATATCAGTGAGCAATTTCACCACTCTTAGGAAACAACCTCCAGGCCTTAGGAGACCCCGTGCGGTGATTCCTCTTCATCTTCATCAGAAGCGGAAGCCCAGAGGCGACATGGCTTTCCAAGAGAAGCGTTTGGTGCTTGCCTTTGCAGTCCTAAACAATAATGGCCCGCAGTCCCAGGGAAGCCTACAGGCTATCTTTCACATTTGACTCATAAGCACCTGGTGTAGCCCTCACGGTGCTGGTAGGCCCTCCCTCCTGTCTGACAGCAAAGGGCCACAATTCTGAAGGAAAGAAAGATGGACTGATGTATTTTGAGATCTGGATCCTGACTGAGCTCTTTCCATCCTATCTGAAACCCATCAGTTTCTAGGGGAATAATCCAATGTCCCTATGGATAGATGCAGGCAGCCTGGGTGGCAATGAACTGTGATCTAATAGATGGTAAACTTTCTGGGTTCTAGGTTTAGGTGGGAGGAAGAGATGAGTCTGAAGGGACTGGCCAGGAGTGAGACTGTGCCCAAATTCTAAAGTCCAAGCATAGCGCTTATGCTTTTCCACCTATAACAACAACAATAAACCACATTATATGTATATATATATGTGTATATATATATATGTTTTATTGATTTCAGAAAGAGGAAGGGAGAGGGGGAGAGAGATAGAAATGTGGATCTGCTGCCTCCTGCAGGCCCCCTACTGGGGATGGGGCTTGCAACCCAGCCTGTGTTCTGACCAGGAATCAACCTGAGACCTCCTGGTTCATGGAATGATGATTTAATCAACTGAGCCAGACCCGCCAGGGCAATAATAAATTATATTTACTCTAGTTATTCAGAGCTTCTGAATTCCACTAATCCTTTGTGCCTCCTCTCCTCTCCCCTCCTCCTCTTTCTCCAGTATCCACCACAATTTCTGGCACCTTCTAGCTACTCAAAAGAGATATGTTGACTCTGTCAAACAAATGAGTAAAATATGTTCCCGTCTGCAAATGATCTAGTTCTTCTGATCTTCCAGTTCATCAGTAACTGGCGGATAATGCTCTTTGGTGGTTTGTTCATTTCCAAGATTAAATAATATAGCATACCTTATACGATGTGTAAATGTCATAAAATAATTTTATGAGTTATGAATTTAACTGTATGCATTTAATGACCTTTACGTTTATGAATTGAGTTTGCAGATATGGTTCTGCTGAGGGGAAGAGGGGGTGGGTTGTGAAGCCCTAGGCAGATAAAAGAATCATTGCTCAAAGTTAGAGGTGTGAGGGTTAATTAATCTCTAATACATTTAACCAATGCTTAGGAAAAAAGACAATGGAGGTTTGGAAGAGGCCAGGGAATAAAAAGAGGGTGGAAGAGTTAGGGGTATAGTGAACACTTTTAAGGTCAATTGAATTATTGCATAAAGAATTCATCAATATTTTCACAAAAAATCATCCTGTGCCAAAAAAAAAAAAAAGGCAGGGAGGTTGTTCAGCAGAAGCTGGTTAATCCCAGCGCCCTCCTGCCAGCTGCAGTCACAGTGCATGATGTGGGCTGTGCAGTCATATATTTCATCGGAACTTCCTCTGTGGTCCTTTTTCTATTGAAGTCTCTCACTGTTTCAGGTCCATGCTTGGAAAAGTTGGAAAACTTCCTTTGGTGAAAAAAAAAAGAAAAAGAAAAAGAAAAAAAAAGCCCGCATCAGACTATATGGAACGAATGAATGAAGTGATTCCCTTGGCCCTCCGATTCCACCCACTTCCATACCAAACATTCATAGAAACATCCTTCCTCAGTTCCGTGACTGTAATTTTACTCCCCCGTGGTGCCGTCTAGAATCCGATGCACAGATTTCGAAAGTCAGCAGGCAGCCGACTGGGCTGAGGCACCGGGCGAGGCTTCTGCAAGAGTCGATGCGCCCGGCGGTGCTGTGAGGTAGCGTCTCCCGGGAGCAGGGTGTGTAAAATACACAGATGCTGAAAAGCATGAAGAACTAACGAAGTGGAAATCTTAGGGTTATTTGTTGGCAATTGACACGCAAGTGGCCTCCTTAAATACTGAGTTGCTTAAGGTTTCAGAGCGGGGATGAATGAATCTTCGGGTGCTTGGCTCGCACCGGCGTGTCAATCTCTAATCTTTCGGGAAATGATGATAAATTAATACAGACTTAGGAAGAAGGAAAGAGAAGGGGGTAAAACAAGAAGGAGAGCTCCCAGCCCTCTGGAAAATCTCGCTTTTACCGCCCCAGACCCTGGACTTTACGCCGAGAAAAAAACCCGGCGGCGCTAGGACCTGGTTGGA